ACCAGTCCACTCACGAATGTTCTTCAACCAGGGACGCCTTGCCGTTCTACCAGGGGACAACGTTTTCCTATCATACCTTCCCCACCTATAGAGAAGCTGCAGTAGCTGGTATTTTCTCATTTCTGTATAAGTGTGCCAAATATGAGGTTTTTCCGTTGTTTTTCATTTATTTTTGAAGAGTTCTCTTGTCGGTACACCATCTGGTGTAGGCCACTGGCTCGTTAGCATCATATGCGCTCTCCAGGGGACTTTCCCATGGGGCATCCTTCGAAATAACCACATGTCAAAACTTTTCCAAAACGCCTGAGTGAGTTGATTTTGTAAGGACCAGGCCTCCATTCCATATCAGTAAGGTGCTGTAAACGTAACATTTTCAAGCATTCGGGATCGCCCGATTTTGACATTGTGTGTTGGATGCGTAAAACATTTGTGTTTCGATTTTAAAAAGACATTTCTTGCTTAGTTCAATTACGCGATTGTATTTTCATGTCTGGATCCTATATCTTTCGTATATTCCAGCCGCATAAAAAATACAGACGCATATTAATTTAACAACATTAAATTCAAAGTGGTTCAAATGAAACTTTCTGGTTACACTACTGGTTAGCTGCTGCAAAATTTGTTTTGTGGGTAGACAAAAGTATTCTACCAGAACTCGTATGCAGCTGGTGACTGATTGCAAATACTAAGTGAAAATAATATAGTTTGTAAATTATATTGATGTTTCCTCTGAAGCATTAATTTTAATTGGTCTTGAATCAAAAGTAATGAACCCTCGTTCATTTTCGCCAATTAGTTCTATTGAAGTTGGAATATGTTCATATGATTTTTTTTATATTGTACATAAATTCACGAATATCAGTACAACAACATATGAGCTGGAATTCAGTGAAGACGATGAAATATCAGTACAGGAAGTCGAGAATGCAATACGAACTCTAAAAAAATCGGAAGTCATGCGGACCACAAGGTATACCAAATGAATTATTAAAACATAACCACAAGTATTATGGGAATTACGGGACAAAAGCACACATTAACAACATCCTCAAAAGACTCAAAAGAGACTCAAAATAAATCGAAACGCAACCTTTTTCGTATATTTATCGTCCTTACTCGACGCAATGAGTACAAGCATGATGGTAATTTATATGGGTAAATTGTTGGTGCATAGTGGAATATTATTCCCAGCACGGCTCTAAATGGCTTGATTAAGCTTGGGTATACAGTTTATTTTAATTGCTATCGACGTATCTTCATCTTTCCTCACTAGAAGTCTCTAGTTGCATACTCTGGCAGTTATTTTCATGTAATTGCCAGAGTAATCGGTGCGTTTTGATTTGGTTTGAGTCTTCTTACAAACTCCTTCTGATGACGGGTAGACCCAGAAACACGTGTCAGGGAGTGGTAAGAGACTCAAAATAAATCTAAACGCAACTTTCTTCGTATATTTATCGTCCTTACTCGACGCAATGAGTACAAGCATGATGGTAATTTATATGAGTAAATTGTTGGTGCATAGTGGAATATTATTCCTAGCACCGCTCTGAATGGCTTGATTAAGCTTGGGTATACAGTTTACTTTAATTGCTATCGACCTATCTTCAACTCTATCATATCTCTAGGTTCAAACTCACTTACCATTTCCTTATGTCTTTTAACAATAGTTATATGCCAGTTTTTGGAATCTGTTTTCTCAAGAGTTTGTGGAGTTGTTAGATATTTCGGCTGATGTGGAAAAATACGAGGACTTGTAGTAGGTTTTAACTTAGGATACTTTCGTATTTATGTTGATGATGAAATATTGAACTTATTTCATAATGCCAACACTGACCAAGAAACAAATTCAAGATAACATCGCCAACATCAACGCAGCGAGCATGAGACTTTTGTGGGTCCTTTTATTCCACTCCTCTGCATTCCCTATGCATACGGTACACTATCAGTAAAAGAAATGAACTTCGGTATAAATGCTTTATTCTCTCATTTTATTAGTAACAATAAGGATCTACATTTTAGTATTCATTGTAGTTACTGTATACAAAATAATCTGTCCTTGTTGACAGGCAAGTACAAAATTCCATTAAAAAAACTTAGCTTGTGGTCTGCGGGCTTCTTCCGGTGCTGTCCTGGGTTATTTACAGCTCAAGATCTTCTTCGTGAGGCGTCAGTTGGTAGTTTTCATTTGTTGTCTCTGGAACTGTTGTTTGTGAAACTGCTGGGTTTTAAAAGGATGGATCCATCTGGAGAACTGCTATTACATATATTATATTTCCTTTATTTTGGGAACTGGTACTAACTATTGGCATGACTATATATTATTCCTTTATTTCTGGGGAACTGTTACTATAATTATTACTGGGAACGAAACATCGTAATATCAGGACCACGCCCTTCTCCTGGGTGCCTAAAAGAGAAATTGAGGTGTAGATAACCCGCAGCATAAATTTATGAAGGGCCCCACCACCCAAGCCAATAAAATTCTAATACCCCCTGTCAGCAGTACAAAAAATCCTACATGTGACTCTGAACTAAAAGTCAGAACCCAAATGTTTTATTTTAAAACTCCCCTTAATAACTATTAGAAACTACAATTCAATTATATAAAATTAACAAATTTTAAATTAAAACAATGAAACTTGAAAATAATTATTATTTAACATAACTGCTGATATATGAATTAAATAGCATTCACGGAAAATAAATACCCCAAAAACATTTTCATTACCTTATTGATGCATAAAATTTACAATACAAATAAGTACAAATATAGGTCTGCAAATTCGAGTTAGCCAGTTAATAAAAATGTGAACAGAAAACTAAGCAATTAAATAAAAAAAACTTACCAACTAGGAACGTATTTTCGTTACACCTACTTGGCGACTGGAATCGATAGAAAATCACACTCAATGGGACCAGCGTGGTATTTATAACAGCAAAAGAAATTATCTGAAGGTCAGTATTAGCTGATAAGGAAGCAGAAATTTCTATTGAGACTGCCAAACTTTGAATGTTTTAAAATTACAAAAAATTAACGACTTGATAAATAATTTTGCTTCGGAATAAAATATCGTATAAGAATGACTATTTTACGGGAAATAATGTAGGGATTCAAAATGAAAATGGCAATAGTATTTTCTCAATAAATACTATTCGGGATAATGGAAATACCTTTTGAAATCCGAATCGGGTCTCACTATGTGCATTATAAAATTGAAAATGTATTATACCGGGCGGACACAAAATGTAGATGGACCAACTAACAAATATTTTCTAAAATGAAAATAAACACGGCTAAATGAGAGGACCTCTAATGCAATGTGGGTATTTGAAAATTGATTCTAAAAAGTAGCGGATTTGCACGCTACAACTTTACTTTATTTGGCACACGGAGTAGAAAACGTTTAACGTTTAACGAGTTTAACGATTTCCTGTCTTATATAAACACACTACATCCAAATATCCAATTTACGATGGAAACAGAGAAAGATCAACAACTAGCGTTCCTAGATGTATTAGTAAATCGAAAGGAAGGTTATTTAGGACATAAAGTGTATCGAAAACTCCACATACGGACAGATACCTAACAGAAACTCAAATCATCATCCAGGCCAAAAACAAGGAAACTCTGGCAGAGAGGGCGAAGAGAATTTGAGAACCACAGAATCTGCAAAGTGAACTTCTTCATATTGAAAAAGCACTCACCTCTAATGGTTATGCGTATAATAAAAGCGATTAAGAACGTTTCTAGAAATGACGAAGAAACAACAGGTATAGGCAAAGCTTTCTTGTCCTATAATATCGGAAGTAGCAGACAGAATTGGGCGAATACTTGAAAAAACCAAAGTAAAGAAACATTTTCAAGCCAAGAAAGAAAATCAAGGACTGTTTAAGGACACCATGCCAATAACCATGCACATGTGGAATGATATATGTGGGTACCGCAAAAAGAGACACAAACACAAGGATAAAACGAACATTAAAAGCCATTGTCGCTTGGGCAAATCGACAAATTTGCCGTTGCCGAACACGCTTTTAGGAAGCGGAGAACATCGGATAATGTTATGAAGAAACGCAGATGCTGGATAAAACAGCACAGTACTATCCACGGTTATATTGGGAAGTGGTAAAAATATCTAAGCATCCAAATAATTTAATCAGATAGAAGAAGGACTAAGAATTAACAAAACATGGTTAATGATATTAAAATCCACAAATACCCTTCCCAGCAAATCATCGAAAAAAGAAAAGCTACAAAGACAATACGCCGAAACCAGTGGTGGGGAGGCGAGTAGAAAATATAAATATGACCTCCGTAGTACAACGCGACGTCACTTTCAGACAAGCGAAGCAGGAAACATCTCCAGAAGATTCCAACCCCTAGTGTTGGCGAAACATCGAGAACGAATCTTAGAAAACAAGGGTCCGAACAAACAGTTTAATAAATAATTTATGTTCTTCACATTTCCTAACGTTGACTTTTTGAGAAGTGGAATGAATATTGATGGTAGCAGTGGTTTGGTAAGTGTCCAGTGTCATATATGTTGTTTGAATAGCCTTCATTAGGTCCTGGTGATTTCCCATCTTTAATTCGCTTATTGGTCATAGTTACTTCTTCGTTTGTTATTTCTGAGCTGTAGATATTGTCTATTTCAGTCGGTTTTCTTACTTTATCTTATATTACATATAATTCTTGCATGTATTGTTTCCATCTTCTTAATCTATCTTCAATTGTAGCAAATTCTGGCCTTCGATGTCTACAACTATAACTATGCCTATGTTGTTGTAATGTAATGTTGTTTTCTTTCACTACTCAGTTTTATATACATTTTGGGTTTCATTTTCTTATGAAATATTTTGAATCGTAGGTTAATATTTACAAGTAGACATCTGTGCCTGGATACGTTTTTATTGAGATGATAGAATTTCGAAACTTTTATTCAAATCGAGCACTTCGAAAATCAATTTTATTTTTACTTATGCATATTTTTAATTTTTAGGTACGATCCGTAAGATTTAACAAATTGGCTGAAGTCAGGCACATGTCAGAAAGTGAAGCTACGGAAGCATTACTAGCAAGGCTTTCTTATCAAGCAAGTGTAAGAGCAAGTGAGATGGCTAAAAGAGCTGCAAATCGACTGCCAATTGCAAGAGTCGCTAAAATCGCACTAATTTTTTGTTTATTAGTAAGTTTAATACTGACTATTTTTTGCAATTGCATTGCAGTTTTTTCAATTAATGTACCTTGTTTTGTTGACATTATTATCTTTTTCTACTTTTTTAGTGGTTTATTGCCAACTATACATACCAAGTAGCCTTGTCAGAAACAGAAGCAGGAATAGTGAACGTTTTATCGTCAACTTCTAGTTTGTTCACTTTAGTTCTTGCATCAATTTTTCCCTCGAATCCGAGCGACAAATTTACTTTGTCAAAATTAGTAGCGGTTTTCCTCAGTATTATCGGAATAGTAAGTATATTATTAAAAATATATTACAAATTTATAATTGACAAAAAATGCAATTTGATTTTTTTTAATAAGTGATCATTATGGAAAGGTGTTTTGGGATGGTATGGATTGATTTCGAATTGATTGATTTTTAAGAAATTCCTAATGAACATTATTAGCTAATAAAAAAATAACAAACAAGAGAACAATTTTTCTTGTCAAATATTTGGTCCACAATCCTAATTAAATTTAAATAACAGCATTTTTTTATTAAACATTATTAGCATAATAAAAAAAATTAACTAAGCAAACGAGAACAATTTTTTCTTTGTCAAATAATTTGGATCCCACAACCCACAGTGAATAATATAACGTAACCTTATGGCTAAGATTACATACGAGGTCTGGCTATTAAATAACGGGACTGCTTATAAAAAAGAGTTTTATTTTAAAAATTATTCTACAATCGAATAATGCTCTCCTTCAATATATTCCCGTTAGAGTTTTTAGAAGCTCCGCTGTTTTTCGCTTCACCTCTTCCATCGTTCGGAAACGGGAAAAAGTCACAGGGTGCTAAATCAGGCGAGTACGGCGGGTGTTCGAGCATTGGAATGCCTCTAGCGTCTAAATAACGCTTCACAGACAGCGCATTATGGGCAGGTGCGTTGTCCTGGTGCAAGATTCACGGCTTGTTTTTCCACAACTCTCGCCGTTTCTTACGAACTAGCTCTCGCAGCTTTGCCAAAACTTTCAAATAGTAAGTTTGGTTTACAGTTTGAACCTCTGGAACTCATTCAGTGATCACGATGCCATTAATGTCGAAAAAAACGATTAGCATGGCTTTAAATTTTGATTTCGACATCCTTGCTTTTTTCATTTTTGGCGATGCAGGAGTTTTCCAGTGCATGGATTGTCGCTTAGTTTCAACATCGTATTTAAATATCCAGGTTTCATCGCAAGTGATGATGTTTTCCATTAATTCAGACGCTTCATGTAACCTCTCAAGAAAATCTATAGCAGATCTGTTGACGGACGAGCTTTTGGTCAGGCGTCAAATTTTTTGGGACCAACTTCGCACAGATTTTCTTTATGTTCAATTCATCATGTAAAATTTTTCTGACATTCTTTATCGGCGTTTACAGTCTCAGCAATCATCCGAATGCTCGTACGACGATATTCACACACAATTTTATTTATTTTGGTCACTGTTTGCGTAGTTGAAACAGAGACAGGTCGGCTTGAACGTTTGTCAAATTCGGCGCTCTCTCGGTCTTGAGAAAACCGTTTATACCATCCGAAAACACGCGCACGAGATAGAAAATTCTCACCATTGGCCTCTTTCAACAAATTATAGCACTCAGTCGGAGTTTTTTTTTAATTTCACGAGAAATTTCACATTAATACGTTGCTCATGTTTTTCGTCACACATTGTTGTCGGCACGAGAAAAAACACGTTCTTTTCTAACCTCTACAGAAAAATACTACTACAGCGACAAAAACGTGATTTCGTACTGGAAGAGTAGACACTTTCAGCTATCCAATGCTGCATTCGTTTCCCACTCTTCTCCTCTAGGACGCCTTCTGCGGGCGCAGTCTCGTTATTTAATAGCCAGACCTTGTATAATAGAATTTTTTTATGTGAACGAATTTCGAAATGTGGGATAAAGTATGATTTTATTTTCTGTAAAGTATTTCTGATTTATAATTTAATGCCAAGATATAAAATGTTTGTTTTCTTACAATATGATGCAATTATAATTTTGGTTTCGTATAATCACTTCTCATTTGTAATTTATTATCTAAACAGAGATTGTTTATTATTTTCCAAGATGATGCAATTCTCCTAGAATCTTTTAATAACTTTTTGTTTGATACACAATAATAAAGGTGGTATTTTAATAGCTTTGTTTTAAATTTTTCATTTTATTTTTCTGTCTGAGCTCGTTTCATTACGAGGGTAAATAACGGATGGCGCCCAATTTATTTTAATTTTAAGGATAATGCGGCAGATTGTATATGAATTTTGAAAGAACTACACCTAAATCTCGTCCAACAGGAGCAAGGGTGCCTAGAATAATTATATAGGTAATACTGTACAAGGTGCTTTTAGAAAGTTGTACCTTTGGCATCTTTTGATAAATCAGTATATTCGCATTTTGTTAAATAAACTACCGAGCATAAAATTAGGGTCACCCCGTAATTTGAATTTAGTTTAGAAATTATTATTCTGTTTTAACTATTTTCGGTTGTAACATAGTTTACTAATGGATTTCTTGAAAAAAAAATTGTTGTCGTTGTTTCGACAAGCGTTTGAGATAAAAAGGGTCCCTTATCCTAATTCCTAAAAACCGTTATCAGCACAGTTTTTGTTTCTATGGTTTTAACGTCAATTGTAAATTGTTTGTGTATTGTTATCACTGTCAGTGTATTGCAATGAGCATACATTCTGTTGTGGCGGCGTTAGAAGATGGCCACGGTCAGCGCGAAACTGCAAAAAACGTTGGTGTAAGTCTCTCGAGTGTGCAACGAGTATGGCAACGGTACGAAGAGACCGGTCTGCTTACTCGAAGACCTGGTTTAGGTCGAGGCGGGATTACAACAGCTAGAGATGACCGCTTTGTCGTTTCTAGTGCTTTGAGAAACCGAACGGTCACGGCTAGTTTCTCTTCGAAAATCATCTGCAAGAAGTGAGAAATGTAAACAAGTGAATGGACAGTTAGGAGACGACTTCATGCTGCGGGTTTATCTTCTCGAACTAGAGTAACTGGACCGCCACTTTCCCGTGAACACCGAATTGCCAGATTGAATTTTGCACGACAATGCAGGATTGGAGTCGTGTATTGTTTTCCGATGAATCGAGATTCTCTCTTACGGGCTCAGACAAAGGTGTAAGAGTGTGGCGACGTCTAAGCGAGAGATATGCTCAAGCATGTGTTACCGAGCGTCTTCCATTTGGTGGAGGGTCACTTATGGCATGGGGAGGCATATCGTTTGATGCTTGCACGGAGTTAGTCTTTATCGCGAATGGGACATTGACAGCGCATAGGTACCTTTTTTTTTTTTTTTTTTTTGGGAGGTGGAATCTTCAAAAGACCGTCTGGGATCGGGTGTCAGCCCTTTACCCAGGTGTGTCGGATTCAATCTCTCACGCTTCACCGCGTGACGGGACCGCCTACCGACTAAACCACCCCCTCTTCCTCCGACCAACGGGCCCGGAACCGCTCTTAGCAAGCATATCTGGCCCGTCAGCCTTACTCTTAACTTCCCTCTGGCACTTTTCGCGTGCATTACATGGATTTGACGGCCTCCCGGCCTCCCTCACCCGCATAAGGCTCGGGCGAGACTGGCTGGTGAAGCTACCGTCCCGCTCAATCATTATGCCGGCGAGACAGCCTGGTTGCCCCCCCTTCCACATTGGAACTAACGAGTAGAACCAGTTGGCAATTAACAGTAACACCATTCATTCGTACTTCCATCAATTCAGTTCCGCATTCATACCTTCATTCACTAATTTTTGGGGTATCTGGACATCCGACGGGATTAGATGTAAAGAGTCTTTTCCCGTCCCATGTCCCACGGCCCTTACCATTAAATAAAATAAATAAATTAGTAAATAAAATAGATAAAAGGAAATAAGTTAAAAATAGTGTGGGTAAAATAAAATAAAAATAGCTAAAATTGGTATTGATAAAATTATAGTAAAAAACGAAAGTAACTTGAATAAATAAAATACAATAAAATAAATACAACGATAAATAAATATAGCGGTCAGTCCACCTGCAGCCGCCTCTCTTTCTCTTCCTTGTGCTTTATGGTTTTTGTGACAAAAGCAATGATCAGTTCGAAATCGTGCTTGCTGTCGATGGCTTTATCGATCAGCTCGTGAGGCTCGCCTAGTGGAAATCCCAGGCTCCGTTGCAGTTCGTTTCGCCCTATGTGGTATGCAGGGCAGTCGAACACAACATGCCGCGCATCATCCACCACTCCACACTCAGGACACAGATCGTCTCCGGATTTTCCAATTCTATGGGTGTATTTCCGAAACGATCCGTGTCCCGTCATAAACTGCGTGAAGTAGTAGTTGACGCGCCGATGTTGACACCTATACCACCTCACTACATCCGGGACCAGGGACCTCGTCCAGGCCGCCTTTTCGACTTCGGCTGCCCATTCCCTCTGCCACATCTCCAAGCTTCTGTCTCTTTCTTGTGGCCCTGAACCAACCGCCCCGTTGCCCCTCGGATACATTCGAGCTCTCTCCCTGGCCAGGATGTGCACGGGTACAGAACCAGCCACCACCTGTAAGGCAATGGTAGATACAGTTCTGTACGCGCTGCACACCCTGATCAGAGGTTTCCTTTGAGCCCTAGAGAGCATGTCCTTATATTTCTTCATCTGGAGGACCTCATGCCACACGGGGGCCCCGTATAAAATGATCGATAATATTGATTGTAACATAACTGATCTCTTCTGAGATCCAGGCCCCCCTACGTTTGGCATTAATTTGTTCAATGCTGAGGTCCTCCCTTCCGCCTTTCGACATGCTTCTTGTATGTGCTGCCCAAAGGTAAGTCGGTCATCGAAAGTAATACCGAGATACTTCACTGTCCTTTGGGGTCTTATTTCGGAGCCTTGACATTTGAACACTAAGTTCTCCCTTTTCCTTGGTCCTCTTAGAATTATTATCTCTGTCTTGTCTACTGCTAATTTTAAGTCGTTTTTCTCGATCCACGCCGCGGTCGTGTTTATTGCTTTATTTACCTTTTCTGTTATGCCCCAATTCATATCATCCTCAACCAGTAGGGCTAGATCGTCTGCGTATGCTATCGCTTTGACTCCTTGTCTCTGCTTGTGAATTTCTAGTACCCCATTGTATAACATGTTCCAGAGTAAGGGTCCCAGGACTGACCCCTGGGGTACTCCCGCGGTCATTTTTTTCTTTTTCTTCTTGGATATGCATACGGATCGTTCAGAAAGGTAGTCCTTTATTATATTGGACATATATTCCGGAGCCCCGCTTT